GGGGAGTGGGGAGAAGGAGGAGAAGGAGGAGAAGAGGAGGAGGAAGAGGAGGAGGAGGAGGAGGAGGAGGAGGAGCTGAAGGAGGAGAAGGAGACGGATACACACCGTCGGCCCCCGCGCGCACCGACGCGGAGCGCGGCATGCTGTGGCAAGAGCCGCGCCGCCCTGTTGGTGCCTACGCAAGCATCCAGGGTGCTTCCTGCGTCAGAACCGTGCGCCCGTGGCATGGGTACTTTTCGTTGTCGTGGTGCTGGTCGCCATCCTCGACATCGTGGTTGTTGTTCTTGTGGTATGTCATCGTCGCCGTCGTGGTCTTCGTCAAGTTGCATGGTGGAATACTGATTCCCGATCTGAGGGACGATGCCGGGCAAGAAGGGGGAGGGGGAACTGGTACCGGGAGGAGGACGAGGAGGAGGGGGAGGGGGAGGAGGAGAGAGGAGGAGGATGAGGAGGAGAGGAGGAGGAGGAGGAGGGAGGGGGAGATGGATTAGGAGGGGAGGAGGAGGAGAGGAGGAGGAGAGGAGTAAAAAAACAAAAAAAAAAAAAAAAAAAAAAAAAAAGGAGGAGGAGGGGAGGAAGGATGAGGAGGAGGATGAGGAGAAGGGGAGGGGAGTAGGAGGAGAGGAGGAGTGAGGGGGAGGAGAGGAGAGGAGGAGAGGAGGAGGAGGAGAGGAGGAGGAGGAGGAGGAGAGAGGAGAGGAGGAGGAGGATAGGAGGAGAGAGGGGAGGAGAGAGGAGGGGACAGGAGGAGAGGGGGCGGAGAGGAGGAGAGGAGGGGAGGAGGAGAGGAGGAGGAGGAGGAGAGGAGGAAGGAGGAGGGGACAGGAGGAGGAGGAGAGAGGAGGAGGAAGAGGAGGAGGAGGAGGGGAAAGGAGGAAGGAGGAGGAGGAGGGGAGGAGAGGAGGAGGAGAGGGGAGGAGGAGGAGAGGAAGATGAGAGGAGGAGGAGAGCAGGAGGGGGAGGAGGAGGGGGAGGGAGAGGGGAGGAGGAGGAGGAGGAGGAGAGAGGAGAGGAGGAGGGGAGAGGCAGGAGGGGATGAGGAGGAAGAGGAGGAGGAGGAGGAGAGGAGGAGGAGGAGGAGGAGGGGAGGAGGAGAGGAGAGGAGGGGAGGAGGGGAGGAGGAGGAGGAGGAGGGGGGAGGAGGGGAGGGGAGAGGGGGGGAAAAGAGAGGAGGAGGAGGAGAGGAGGAGGAGGAGGAGGAGGAGGGAGGAGTGAGGAGAGAGGAGGAGGGGAGGAGGAGGAGGAGGAGGAGGAGGAGGAGGAGGAGGAGGAGGAGGGAGGAGGGGAGGAGGAGGAGGAGGAGGAGGAGGGGGAGAGGAGGAGGAGGAGGAGAGGATGAGGAGAGAGACAGAGAGACGACGACGAGAAAGAGGAGGAGGATTGAGGACAGAGGATGAAGGACGATGAGGATGAAGGGGGAAGAGGAGGAGGAGGAGGAGGAGGAAGAGGAGGAGGAGGAGGAGGAGAAACAGGACAAGGCGAATGGGCAAATGGGCTTCCTCCTCCTCCTCCTCCTCCTCCTCCTGGCCCGCCCGTGGGCGCCTCGAGGTTGTGTCCGGTGCCCGTCCGTGGGCACCTCGCGGGCGCCCTGGTGGACTGCGTGCGTCTGCCGAGGCTCCGTCCAGTGCCCGCCCGCGGGCGCCCTCGCGGGCGCCTCGTTGCGCGGGGCGGCTGCACGTGTTGCACTGCGTGGCATAGTTCGCACCACGTGGCTCACACCACACAGCTCGCACCACACGCTCTGCACCACGCGGCTCGCACCGCACCTGTTGCACCACGTGGCCCAGCACCGCAGATGCTCGCACTGCACAGCCTGCGCCGCTTAGCTCATTGCTGCCAGATGTTGCACACCATGGCCCGCACTACCACAATGCTAGTGCTCCCTGCTGTGGGTCAGCGCTGGCAAACAAACACACCCACACACATGCGCACATGCACATGCATGTACGATATATGACGCGTGTAGTAGTACCTATTCCCCAAACAGTGATTGCACGTATGGTGTTCTTACTGCTCGAAGGGACTGGGCCGCGTCTTCGGTCTGGCGGCTATTTGGCCGCGGTCGCCGCCCCGTTGCCGCCTCGTCGCCGCCCGTAGTCTGGGCCGTGTCTGCGGTCTGGCTGCTATGTGGCCGCCGTCACCGCCCCGTCGCCGCCTCGTCGCCGCCCCTCGTGTGGGCTGTGTCTTCGGTCTGGCGGCTATGTGGCCGCAGTTGCTGCCCCGTTGCCGCCTCGTCGCCGCCCGTCGTCTGGGCCTATCTGTCGGTCGCCGAGTTTGTTGCCGCCGCCGCCCGGTCGCCGTCCCACATAGATTGCATAACATGCATTGCACCACATATACATATATATATATAGCACAGCATAGTTTGCTCACGTATATCTCACAGCATAGAGTGCACCTAGTTGACCGCATCATCTGTATTGCGTATTGCACAACATAGGCTGCACAACCTAGATTACATCACGTAAATTGCCCCCCCCACATCGATTGCGCACCATGCGTTGCACCACATAAACTGCACGACACGTATTGCGCAACACGTTGTCCACCACCGTGATTGATTCACATCGGTTGAACCACATAGATCACACTACAGTGAGAGAGAGAGCACACTATATTCATGTATTCGTTGCGCACCATCAATTACACAACAATGATTGCACCACGTATCCTGCATTACTTATATGGCTCCGCATGTGTTATAGGCCGCGCCACTGCTATTGCACAACATCGATTGCACAACATCTATTGCACACCATAGGGTGCACACCATCGATTTCACCACATACGTACGTACATACATACATACATACATACATACATACATACATACATACATACATACATACATACATCCGCCGGCCTCCATGTGGGGCCACCAGCCTGTAGGTTCAGGGTTTGCTGTTCCCTGCGCCAGTTCCAGTTCCCAGTTTCCACTGTTACGGTTCTGCTTCTTGTTGCTTAGTGTTCCTTGTAATAGACCGCGCAAGGAAGGGGAACCGAAAACCGCTCTAGTTAGCACCTCCCGGGAGGGGTCTCAGAATCTCTGGGGGGAGTCGAAATTGACACCCCTCACGCAGATCGGCGGGGGCAGGGTCCAAAAACATGGGATTTGCCACATTTCTAAAATTCGGTAACACCCCTCATGCAGATCGGCGGGGTCAGGGTCGAAAAACCAATGGGATTTGCGACATTTCTGACATCCGGTAGCACCCCTCTCGCAGATCGGCGGAGTCAGGGTCGAAAAACATATTGGATTTGCTAGATGTGTGAAATCCCACCAGCCCTTTGGGCGTGAGTGGTTTAGAGAGCCCGCTCTGTTCTCAACCCCCCTTCTTCCCCTTCGGGGAGGGGTTTACCCCTCCCCCTACCCCCTCCCCCTGGGCCTGGAGAGGGGCTCCCGCGGGTCGCCAGGGGGGTCTTCTTCGACTCCTGGGAGGGTCAAAAAACGACGACCCTCACGAGGATTGTGGCCCCGACGGGGGGGCCGAGTTTGGCCCCTCTCCTCTTCTGTGAGGCCAAAATCATCGATTTCACTACGGTTTTGGCCCCATTTTGGCCTCCTGAGGGGGCCGCGCTCATCTTCCTTCATAGCAAAAACATTGATTTTACAAAGGTGTTGGGCTCATTTTGTCCTTCTCAGGGGGCAGCGCTCATTTGCGCTTCGGAGGAGGTCGCAAGAGGCCCCAAGATGGCCCCAAGAGGCCCCCAGGAGGCTCCCAAGAGGCCACCAAGAGGCCCCCAAGAGGCCCCAAGAGGCCCCAAGAGGCCCCCAAGAAGCCCCAAGAGGCCCCCAAGAGGCCCCCAAGAGGCCCCCAAGAAGCCCCAAGAGGCTCCAAGAGGCCCCCAAGAGGCCCCACGAGGAGCCCGAACGACTCACACCAGGACGAGGGGCCCGAACGACTCACACCACGAAGAGCCCGAACGACTCACACCACAAGGAGGGGCCCGAACGACTCACACCAGGACGAGGCGCCCGAACGAATCACACCACGAGGAGCCCGAAGGACTCACACCACGACGCGGGCCCCGAACGACTCACACCACGAGGAGCCCGAACGAGTCACACCAGGAGGAGGGGCCCGAACGACTCACACCAGGATGAGGGCCCCGAACAACTCACACCACGAGAAGCCCGAACGACTCACACCAGGACGAAGAGCCCGAACGACTCACACCACGAAGAGCCCGCACGACTCACACCAGGAAGAAGGGCCCGAACGACTCACACCAGGACGAGAAACCCCAAACGACTCAAATCACGAGGAGCGCTTTCTCTCCCTCCTCCTCCGCCTCGTCCTTCTCCCGCTCACCCCACAAGGAGGATGTACAAGGAGGCGGGAGGAAGGAGGAACAGGGGAGATATGCGGGGCCAAGCGGACACACGCCTGAAAAACACGACTGTCGGCATGCTTCGCAAGAGTTGCTGCTGTGAGATGGGCTGGTGGGGATACGCGAAGCGTAAAGAATTCGGTAGCGCCCCTCACGCAGATCGGCGGGGTCACGGTCTAAAACCATACTGAAGTTACAGCATTTCTATATCTGGCACCCCTCACGTAGATCGGCGGGATCAGGGTCGAACAACCAATGGGATTTGCCACAAGTCCAAAAATTCCGTGGCCCCCCTCACGCAGATCGGCGGGATCTGGGTCGGAAAACCCATGCGATTTGCCACATGTTTCAAATTCGGTAGCACCCCTCACGCAGATCGGCGGAGTCAGGGTCGAAAAACAAATGGGATTTGCCACATTTCTAAAATCTGGTAACACCCCTCACGCAGATCGGCAAAGTCGGAGTCGAAAAACCAATGGGATTTGCCACATTTCTAAAATCTGGTGGCACCCCTCATGCAGATCGGCGGGGTCAGCGTCGAAAAATACATATGGGCTTGCCACATGTCTTGAAATCCGGCGGCCCCCCTCACGCAGATCGGCGGGGTCAGGGTCGAAAAACCAATGGGATTTGCCACATGTATAGAAATTCGGTGGCAGTCCTCACGC